CCCGTTTCTATCAAATTTATCTTTGAGTTTTTCCCTATTTAACTATACAGAACAACGTATATAAAGTGGTTTACAATGGAAGGTTGGCATGTTTCTCAGCAATTACTCATCTCTATTTGCTCTGCAACTCTCATAAGTTTTACTGAGATTCAGAACTTTCTTCCATGGCTTCATTTCATGGATTATTTTTGGTATTAGCAAATAGTTTTGAACGTTTGTTACAGATATGATTATTTCAACATTTGTATTATATGTGTTAGTATTATTTCTATTATTATCATTATCATCATCGCTATTACTCTGGCTAATATCTGCTTATATTCTTATCAAAATGTTTTAAGCTTATTCGACTCACAAATCTCATTATACGCAGTAAAAGTATTAGCCGACAAACATGTGTTAACAGTATTGGACTAAAAATCCCCTAGCCACGACCGAGAATCTGCTTGCGTATGTCTGGGCTTAATCGTATGTCGATATGGATTGCACTGTTCTGCCGAGTTTGTGTTTCATAATCTTCATTCTATCATATAGTTTGAAAAAGTGAGCATAAATTCTTCAGCATGAACAATAGTAATTGTGTGAACCATTACATACGTCATCCAGGGGAATAACGTCATCGATTAACTTGACCGTGTTCGTTTTTACTTGGTATACAATTTGTTCGTTCATTGTCGCCTTAAGGGAGAGAACAAGAGAGATCGCAGAAGGGATTGCAGCACCGAGTCCATGAACCGTGATTAATTCTTTACTAGCAATCATAGTAAATAGGCCTTGATTTATTTCGTGTAACTATCTAAAGATGTAACATGTAATAGATTTATACCCTTCTTCTAATAGTAACTTCTTGCATCTTTTTAATAGCCCGTCCTTGCTTGATTTCCTCGAAACGTAGATATCTGTTATAATAGTGGCTCCTCTAACTGGTGAACGTTTGTGGATGCTTGCTTCGATACAAGGAAGATAGTGAAATCACCAGTTAGCTTTCGACACTTGGAAACATCGAATATGTAAAAAGAATTAAGTTACGTCTTTTGCTTGGGCTGGGTAGTTCTTCTTTGTTCGAGGTAACCAAAGAGGATTTGCGCTTTCGCTTTATCATTTCAAACAAATCGAAACTAAAGTGTGTCGAACTTGGAGAAATTTAGATGAAGATGGATTATAAGGTGGCGTAGTACTCAAATATTTTCACACCTTTCAATAATCACACAAAATGCCAAAAGTGAAATCAAAGTTGAAATCGTCTCTCCTTCGCTTGCAACAAGAGAAACAACTACGTGACAAACATGCGGCGGCGATAGCAAACGCAGAGGCAAAACTAAAGAGTATCAATAAACCCAAGGTCAAGAAAATCAAGAATGTGGAAGAACGTCAGAAACAATTTCCTCCTGTACCGTATAAACAAGGAGAGCGAATATTGTTGGTCGGCGAAGGTGTGACTTGGTATACTATATTGATTGTTTATTAGCCATGTTTATGGAGATCTTCTACAGCAATCTTATTTCCCCAAACAGGTAATTTCAGTTTTGCTCGCTCTTTATGCGATCATATTTTCAGAGAATGCTCTTACGCCATAACGGCCACAACAAACGATACCGAGGCTGTTGCTTATGAGAAATACACGGATGCTAGGACACACGTTAGTGTAATCCGTGAATATGGTGGAGTAGTAATCTTTGAGGTTGATGCTACCCAGCTGGATAAATGTAAACCATTAAAGCAACATACCTTTGACAAAATTGTTTTCAACTTCCCTCATGTTGGTATGTATCTTATTAAATTGACGGTGTCGAAACGTATATTGAGAATTGTAAAATAATTGGTTTACTCTGTTAACAAACAATGAACGCACTAGGTCTCGGTATAAAACATCAATCTCGTAATATTCTTGCCAATCAGACTTTGATCCAGCAGTTTCTTCAATCATCTTTAGCTTTTCTTTCATCATCGTCGAGTGAGATTCATATAACTTTGAAGACAGGGGCACCATATGATGATTGGCAGGTGAAGAAGATAGCTAAAGCTCTTGATTATGTGACTAAAGAGACAATTAGATTTTATCCAGAAATGTATCCCGTTTACGAACATCGACGTACTATTGGATTTAAAGACAATGTCAGCGTAGGTGGTAACAAGGAATTGGAAGACAAGCGATGTAATACAATTATATTCTGGAGGGAAAAGGGAGGTCATATAAGAGATGAGGGTGATCATAAGGGTGGTAATAATAGTGATGGTGAATAAGCTGTTATACAATTTACATGCTACAAGTGAGTCTTGATATAACGGCACTGCTATATGACGACATCTTGATATGATGACAGAAATCATAGAACAAAAAATCTATAAGGACATACGAGACAAACCTATTTAGTAATATCAAAGAATGTTATTCGAAACACATGAAAAATTTAACCAAATTAGGGCATCCAAATGATTTCTTTTACAACAATTTAGATGTAAAAGTAAATTACTTTAGTTGGCCAAAATAATATATTTACCTTACCTGGTAAGCAAAAGAATTCACGTCAAATGAACTGAAAACCAGGATGAAAAAATATATAATATTTTAATTAGGCCGATAATCCTCAAACAAAGGGCTTGAAGGCAGCTTACTACAGTCAACTGCCGATAATTCGACCTTCTTTATACGTTAATTCGACCACTGGTTACAGAACATTTTTTTGACATTTATTATTATTTCTATTGTAATTAACTGACGATAATTCGATTTGTACGTTAATTCGATCGATAACCTCGGAACGCAAGCGGTCGAATTATAGGCAGTTGACTGTAGTCAATCTTGTATACATAGAGGGAATGAGTAAAAGATCGTGAGCTTCAGCTATGACTTGGTGATTTTGAAATTTCCGCTGATAGCGCTATCGTAAAACAAAATCGTTTAAACATATGGTCATTTTTGATAGTCAGTTGTTATACACTATGGCTCGATTACAGTCATAAGATCCTAATATATACTTTAAAATGTTCTCTCAAGGTGTTTAGAGCATTATACTGGTTTGTTTACTCTTTGAGTTAAAACAAGGGTAACATTGTCACGACGCAATACACGTAATCCCACGAGAAAACAAAAAATACGAGCGCGACAGGGATGTTAGATGCTAAGAATGATCAAGATAGAGGATAGCGCTATGAGTGAATCCACTACGTCACAAGTTTAAAAATAATCTGCAAGAGTGAAAATTTCATGTCAGGCCCAATTCCAGGTTTATCGTTGAATGACATTTTAATAACAAAACGTTCAAATTGAAAGAATTAATAAGGTATACGATGCTATTATGAAATTGAACCAGACACGGGTATTGATAAAAATTTCTCTAGACATTAAAAACAAGCTCCAGAATTTTCATCTGGGGATTGAATTCTGGTTGTTGTTAGGAATTAAGCAAGTACAAAACATAGCTGTTAACGTATTCTGCAATCAAGTTATCTCGACATACGTATTTGAAAAAATTACGGGTTTCCCTGTTATTATAATTGGATATACGAAAGTCTTATCAAGAGGGTATACAGCGTCAGGAAATTTATATACTGTTAATATACAGAAAGACTGCATCACCCGATTAGAATGTATGACTTCACTGTAGAGCACCCTGATCGGGCTATTTTAACCAACAACTGTGACATTGAATAAAGGGTTTGTAGTCAGCAGGGATACTTGAATCCAGAAGGCTTGCATTCCGGTTGCTAAAGTTGGAGCTTTGCATTCTTTATTAGTAACACCTGCGAATGAACGTTAAAGGTGTGGTTGCTAAAGTTGGTTACAAACAGATTTGTTTTGTTTATTTTTGGATTGTATATTATAATTACACGTGATTAGAAGATTCTATGGCTAGATCATTTCAGACCGTATGCATGTGATGTCATGATTCTTATATGCCGTTATTATTTCGTTATTATTGTGAAACATGAATTCTACAATTTAGGGTTTATATACAGCATTTATTGGTGTCGATATTAAACAAGACCGCTCGTACGAAGAAAGTTCTTGGTTGACCCCTGTCACAACGTCACTGGGTATGACATCATAATCGATATACTGGCAAAAGAAATGGCCACCCATACTACACATTACTCTCATTATCCGTAGAAATTAGAAATGGTTTCTAGTCCGCCATCCTCTCAACCTGTAAGCCATTCACTACAGGTATTAACACAAGTATGGTTACATGTTTTATTCAAATATCACCGTATGCAACTATTTGTCACGCAATACATAGCTTCTCTTGCGATCGACATACTCCGGTATATAGTACTATTACTTCTCAACTTACCTTCTGTCTCTACCGATATAGGATGAGGAAAAAGTAATTGTATCCTCTAAAGAAGAATTGATTGACCACGAAACGTTTGACCAGCTATTGGAGATGGATGATGAAGACGACAAATGCTCGTTCTCTAAAGGGATTGTTTTAGAATACTTTAACCAAGCAGAGGAAACATTTGGCAAGATGGACAAATATTTGTAAGTTGCTTTACACATGAACGCATTGGCAATTATTATCACCTATCAGTAATCAAACTATCTCCTTCATGCATGGGTCGCTTGATAGGCAGGAGGAGAATCTTGGTGAATTGTCCAAATCGGGTCATTTTCTTAAGGGCAGTTCAGCTGCCATCGGATTAACCAAGGTCAAAGACACCTGCGAAAAAATACAATATTGCGGTGATCTCAAGGATGAAAACGGAGAATCGAAGATTACGAAAGACGAGGCAAAAGATCGCATTGCATCGCTCTTGGAAAATGTAAAAAAAGAATATCAGGAAGCCGAAGAATATTTGAAAATTTTTTATGAGAATCGGGGTTCAGCTATTAGTGAACCATCCTCTGGTGATTAGGTTTAATGAAGGGAAGTGGCTAGTATTAATATGACGTTAACTTAATGGTACTGTACATATTACTTCGTGACCTTCATGGATGTATTTGAAGGAGAACGATAATAGTATAAAGATTCTGGCAATAAGTATGTATCTAACGGATCTCTATATGATCGTGGACGGCGATGTCACATGCCGATACGTTCAAAGCATGTTATGTTGTGTATTTACGTAGACATTTTTATACGTGAACGGGACGAGTCAATCTTAGTTTGAGTCCTCTATCGAGATTAACCATCATGGCGAGAACTAAGTATTTAACATACTGTATTCAATCCTTTTTTATTTCATTTCTTGTCTAGCTATTGATATATAAATTTATTGAATTAGCTTGGTTATGACAAATTGATTGTGCACTATTTTTGCTAGCTCATGTATTATTCTCATATAATGGATAGGAGTGATGAATATGCATCTAGCGGTTCATTATAAAAAGACACTCAAATACTCGAACACACACGCGAACAGCAACGGAACAGCTCTCGCAACACGCGCAACACACAACACACGTGACAAAATGCTCTTAACGACGCAATGACTCAACGACATAACAACCAAATACACTCACGATTCTCTCTCTGCTCCGATGATGTAATAAGAAATTTGTTTTAATATATCATCGTGAGGATTACTTTGCCCTTGCCCTAATTATTATTATGGAGGATTTCATGACGAGACCTACGGGAAAAATAGATTAAGAATTGGAAAGTGTTTGACAAATTATCACGGAAAATACTGGTAAATGCTTGGTGTTCAGTGTTTTGTCTGTTCTCACTTTCGGCTATTACTGCGGTGTTCTGCGGAAGTAAATGGATGGGTAACAACAATATTTATTCGCATATGTATTACAGCACACAAATGTCTTCTCGGACCATATCAATCATTCATATTGCTCCATTTTACTTTTATTTCTTTTCCATTTAAGTTATCAATTTCTGAATCAGAGGAAACAATAGGCGTTTATGTAGGTGCATTATAAAGCATTTTTGGTATATAAAATGATTTTCACGAGGGATTCGCCCTGAATACAAAGAGGTTTTTATTGTTACTTTGATTATCAGATGTTCTTCAGAATATAGTTTCAAAAGTTTCTTGATAATTTTAACAAACAGTTCATGAACCAAACTAATGCCTTACAGAATTGATATGGAAGCTTTTCATTTTTCACACTTGCAGACTTTACATATTAGAAAAAGTAAAAGGAAAAGGAAAAGGAAAGCATTGAAGTGAGAAGATGATCTGAATCAGCCAATTATAAACCGCTTTTTAACATCTGGTGATGAACGTTCAGCCCGCAATGGAATAATTCAAATGTACGTGCAAAAGTGGAGACAGTTAATTTAATATTATGGTGCAATAATTTCGCTTGAATGTATGGCCACTTGACGTAACTCTGGTGGATTTCATTCAGTACGACATCAAAATTACATAACGTAAATGCGTCAACGAATCCTTCAACCAATTAAACGTGTCCTTCATCCACCAATTGTTGATTGAGCCGAAAGCGGTTATCTTTTCTCGGATTCCAGATCATCATTCTTTGCTTTCGTGGTTATCATATTCTTCGACATAGCCGGTGCTTTGCCTCAGCGCCAAGAGATATTTGGATAATATATGGAAATTGTAACACAGAATTAACCTTATTTGGATAAATCAGGAGAATGTGGATAATGTACCACCAAAAGTAGCAGAATTTTATATTATAGAAAATTCACCATAATAATAACCCCCCATAACCTATCATTAGAACACAAAATTTATCATTTCAAGGTTATCACCTTTTTTGCACGGATTTGATGTTCCGCGCCACGCTGTCTAGGTTAATTTGTGCCACGCTAACCGCATAATAGACTTTTGAGCCGCAGCTGGTCTTAGCCACGATATGATTGATTAGGGTCTTTCCGCCCAATGCACAAATGGAATTTATGGGGGGGCAAACACCCCAGTTCGCAAGATTAGGTGACATATAAAACACTTCCATACACGTAAGATTCTAAGCACTTTGTCATCCTTTTTACGCTCGCGCCAATACCACAGGCCAACACTCTGTAATTTACTCGAAGGAAGCTACGTGCAAACTTATTTTAACTCATAATGGCCGAAATCCGAAGAAAACTTGTCATTGTCGGCGACGGTGCATGTGGCAAAACGTGCCTTCTGATCGTATTCTCAAAGGGTACCTTCCCAGAGGTATGCATATGTCTCTTTTTTTTTTTTTTTTTTTTTGCTAAACACATAATACCAGAAGATATGCTGTTTGTTACTATTGTGTCTACCATGGAAGAGCGTATAATACTCTACCGTGCTGTTGTCTATAGCGGGCTGGAATTTTGATAGCATATATGACAGTGGTTTACGAAGCGTTTTACGCTATTCTATCGAACAATGAATTATTTAGTTGAGATAACAGTGATTGATTCATATATTTCCATTATATGGTCTATTACTCGTATTAGGTATATGTACCCACTGTGTTTGAAAACTATGTCGCCGACGTAGAAGTAGATAATAAACGGGTTGAGTTAGCGCTATGGGATACAGCAGGTGGGTAATGGAGGAGAAAAGATAGAGCGGATATTGATCATAGATATCATAACCTCCATTTACGCATTAAACCTCGTTCGTTAGTTTGTTCGTTCGTTCGTTCGTCGGTTGGCTCGTTCATTCATTCGTTCATTTTTCTCATAACCATGCTTGTTGACTGTTTATAGGTCAGGAGGATTACGACAGACTTCGTCCCCTCTCATATCCCGACTCGCACGTTATTCTAATTTGCTTTGCGGTTGATTCGCCCGATTCCTTGGATAACGTTCAGGAAAAGGTAACCATAATGAAATCTTGGGATTTAGACCAAAATATACTTTTAGCCGATTTACATGATTTGGGATCGTAAACTGTGTTGATAATATGCAGAGAATACTTTCTTGTCTTTTTGACAGACACAATCGCTACGCTTGGCATCAATTTTCTCCTTATCTGAGCGTTATCAGTCAAGACTGTATTCATAACCTTTAACATTTGTCCTATTTATAGTGGATTTCAGAGGTAATGCACTTTTGCCAAGGACTCCCAACTCTTCTAGTGGGATGTAAGAAGGATTTGAGATTTGACCCCAAAACAATTGAAGAGCTCCGCAAGACTTCTCAAAGGCCAGTTACGCCCGAAGAGGTATGGATGTAATGTAGATGAGCTAAAATCGACAACTATAATACACAATGCATGTGAAGCCATCATCGCTAACAATTAATTCTTCATCTGTTAACAAACTCCAATCCACACCTTATTATTTTAAAGGGTATGGCTGTGGCTCAAAGAATTGGAGCGTACAAATACCTAGAGTGTTCAGCTAAGACCGGAGATGGAGTCCGTGAAGTGTTTGAACATGCTACACGTGCAGCTTTATTGACTAGACCCCGTCGAAACAGGAAAAATTGTTTCTTCTTGTAATATTTACTCTGCTCCACTGCTTACGTATGTATGACAGCGAGTTACAGAATACTTTTGGCTGCGCGAACTACAATAATGGTGTCTTGTCGGTTATCGTTCTTTTTTACGGCGATTGTAAGAAGTGTTTTTTTTTGCTTGTGATGATTCATTAGTGTTTTCATATTGGACTTTTTTTTTTCCATTTAAATGCGAAACTTCTTTTCTTTATTATTATTATTTTCTTTACCGAACTTATATAGCCTAAACATTTAGTTGCCAATATTGTGCGTGTGTGGGTGTCTTCTTTCCAATACGTTCTTTCTAATTAGGAGAGTTCGATTAAAGAGTATTAATCTACTTCATACTGAACTAAACCGTTTACAGTAAGATGCATAGGGGGAGAAAAGGAGTCAAGGATAGGAAGTGCGATGTCTACGATAATATAAGGGTAATACCAAGAACTTCTGGAAATAGTAAAATCTTGTTGGAAGCTTCGAAGTTGCAAACTATTCTTGGAAGGCAGCAGATACAGGGGGAAACAATTGAATATGCTGATTCAATCTACATTGAAGAGGAAATCATGATTCACATGAATCTGGTTTCGTCTAGCAAAATTATTGCTCATATCGATGGAAGTCTCTGTTGCCCTAATTCGATATTCAAAGAGTCTCGTGACCAAGGAACCAATATTCTTCGGCCGAATCTCAATAGCGATCCCGCCGGTTTCTCCCTGCTCATACTACAAACGCCTGCTGCGTTGCCGCAGCCGCAGCAGCGTTTGTTCACTGATTGACTCTCCTCTGTTCTACATGCATCGATAGTCTGCATGATAACCGCCGGACGAATGCCCGATTAGCAATCGAAGTTACTATTTATGATTACTTATCGTCATTATGCAAGTATTATTATGCAAGTTAATGTTTTGTATGCAATATCAGGAGTACGTTAATAATCAGATCTTAATTATTTCTACCGAAAATGGCTGCTAGCTTATGCAAGTATTGCACGTGAAATATTCCTTCTGTCCCGGATTATGTGCACTTTAAACTAGATAATAAATTTCGCAAAGCCAGTTGATTCAATAAGCAGTCATTGCTTTTAACGCGGTCTCTATATCTGTTTCGCTTATTTGTTTTGATATGAATGTGGTTAATCGGGTTTACGATGTGTCCGTTACTTGGCGTCTATCCGTGCCTGCCATTGGTACTTCAAGTACACATGATTTTTGGGTCTTATTCCAAGCAAGGTTTCGTTCATATTTCTAGCGTTCAATGTAAGAATTTGGAGTAAAAGCTTGCGGTAATTTCCTTGATCTTACAGCCAATTTCACACATACAGGATTGGGAAAAACCAGTCAGTGGGCATACTGTCCGAGATAATCATATGTTGCTTCAAATTATACGATTTAGAGTTTATTTAGAGACTACCCGCATTGTTATGGTATATTATTAGCAGGAAAGTTTTTGCTGTGAATTTGTTTAATAATTTAAGGTCAGGAGTGTTGAAGACCAGTCCAAACCTGTTGAAACATTATTCGGATTCCTTTACAACAAGAGACGTGTGCTTAGGATCATTATCTTGTTTGAATTCTGCAACAATTTCTTATTTCTGGAAGGTGTTTCCCTAGCCGCTCTACCTTTGAGCATATTGTCTCTACCCTATTACAGACACTTGATTTTCACACTTTCAACTTTATTTAAGGGTGGTGTCACCGAACATCACATGCCAATGCCTGTGCCCCCCGACACGCGAGGACTAACAATCAGGTTTTCACTGTTTTAAGGTAAAGCGTACAACAGGCCCGCAATTTCTCACAAAAACAAAGGTTTCGTTATCCACACGATTGTTTGTCCGTTTTCGAGGGAAAGATTCTCAAGTATTGTATATAAGGAGAGACGAGTGCGAAATCTGAGGGTATTCTATCGACATGTCGCTAAAAATTTTTATTAATACCTTAAGCAAAAATGTAGTCTCTCAACCGTCATTCCCCTTCGTAAGTATCGTTCTTCTGAGTAATTCTCACACATTCTATAATTCGTAAAGGTGATGTCAATGTGCGAGCTTGATGTACATTCTTCCGGATTGGTAGGTATTAATGGTATGTTACATTTATCATCCCTTTGGCACCATGAACAGGATTTATACTGTCTCTAACACACGTAGTCGTCTTCGATCAGTACCGAGTCTTGCAAATGGGCTGGATTTGGCGAATACGTTATCGCTGGAAACAGTATGTATCTGATATCGCCAGCGTTAATGTTATTAATATGAATGTTGCATCCGGTCATTGAACAGAAACAAATATCGATTTCGTTATTGCATCCGGCATAATCATTGTATTAAGTGATGCCAATAATCAGTGGAGACGGCATATATTACCGTTATCATTTTTGTCAGTATTCCATCTGTGGTTTATTATTAATGTGTACAATATGAAGCGTTTTATTCGTAGGTTTATGTACAAGTCGTCTTTATGGTTATTGTCGCTACTAGAAACACATCGTTTGAAACGAAATAGAATTAGGATACCTATGAAAATGCCAACGGATCAATGAAACGGTTCATACAACTTTCATTTACTGGCGCTTTTAGTCTTGTCGATTTCACTATGTCTTAAGCAGGTCTGAATGTAAGTATGAATGTCAACGTTATAGAAATTGATCGATGAGAACACTCTTAGAGGCCTCATCAGGTAACGTTGAAGTGAATGCAAAAGGCTGACAGTAATAACAACTTCGGAAAGTCCAACTTACTATATCAATATATATAACGTGCTCCTTGTTTATTACGTACAGTTACTAAAGTGGCCCATTGTAGAACCAAGCCCTGGCGTACAATCGTGTCCTTAAATATTTAACGCATGTTGTTACAATATTCCATCATTTGTTTGACGCTTTTAGTATTTAGATACGAGGAAGCCTTATTAGGCTATTAATATGGTAAAGATAATAGTGTGGCTCAGGCCGAGTGTTTCAGCCCAAATCTTAGTGTAACTGATACCCCTGTATATTTAATAATATTAATATTAATATCTATGTCCCTCATCGAGTCGTAAGTGTAAAAGTTAGTGTTAACAGTAGTTCTTATTTAACTAAAAGTAGGAGAGCCACGAAATTAGCCAAGTTAATAGTCAATCGTTCTCCCGTGACTGTTGACTCACAGAGAACAACTTCTGGAAGGTTCACTATTACGAATCAAACCTGTCCATTTACGTCACTCGAATTTGAACAGGATTCTCATTTCAACCCTCATTGTTTATGTATTGCGAGAGCCATTTTTACAACCTAACAATTGACAGACTGCTCTATATATAATACTACCTTAAAGACATAGATAATCAGCATTTATGCCATATTAATATATAATGCTCAGGTCTGATCAAACCAGTGAGATATTAATGTAATAAACTTTAAGCAGACGAATTTGGCTTAATTTATACATTACCGCTTGTGCATGCCAATATATGCTGTTATTTTCCTATACGATGCCCGTTTCATCCCAAACAGTCACTATAATATTATACAAAAGAGGAATGAGAAATATTCAATGTAATACAAATTATGTGTTTATACAACATCTAATCACAAAACTTATGAATCTACTGACATTATCACCGCCACCATCGTCATATAATCAAGGGGAGCTGCCTTTTGCTGACTGTTGGAGAGCATAGTGTGTTATACATCATAATTCTTGACAACTTGTTAAGTGGTTCAGGATGCTATTATTTGTAAGATTAATTAATCTGTAAAATGTGGTTTTTTGCAAACAAAAATTTAGACTATGTGTATTAGTATAACCAACCCTTTTTCCAGCATTCACTGATCGATGACAACATAGTGTCCGTCTATCATCATCTGACTCTTTAGGTAAACATTACATTACAAAGAACGTAACCTTTAGAACACTCCCCCTTTTTTTTGCAAGTTCGCAATCATAGCATAGGCTGATATCGGGTTTCTTGCCAAAGGAGTAGGGGCTGTACTTTTCACAAATACATATTCGCGATATCTTTTCTAACGCATATTGCAGTATGTAAAAGTGCCGGCGAGACGAAACAGGTAGTTTAATAGTAAAACCTGTATTATTATTATAATAAAAACCTCCTTACGTCGTAATAGACTTTGAAATCTTGGCAAGTCTTGTTCTTCTACAAATTGGCTGGGTCTTGTTGATCCACGTACTGCAAAAGTAATTTGCACTGCTCCAATGCCGTAGAATGAGGAATTTTTTCTATTTCAATCGCTACCTTCATTACTACTATCAGAATTAGGTAATTTTAAAAATACTAATTTATATTGATGTTGATATCAGCGAGGCACATGTAATTAGGAAGAAAATCTGATATATGTTGATAGGGATATCAACGGGGTATGATGCCAAAATTGATATATGCGGGGGAATTTATATATGGGGAAATCCGTTCTGTAACCACTGTTGATATATAAAGAGAGGTTTATATTAACGGGGTGGATATTGAAGGGGGTCGACTGTATATACTTTTGGGATCCCTGCGACTTTTGAAAAGCAGTTTCTTCCCAATTTGAAGTTTTAAAATTAGCACATTCCATATGATCGATGAGTTCTTGTACTTCAGTTAGTAGTTCTTCTCTAATTTCTAACAACTATGCGAGCATCAGTTTTTGGCATTTTGGTAGGAATACAGTAAGTAGTTGATTCCCCCCCCCCCCCAACTTTAGAAACGCGCGTTTTACGAAATTAGATAAAGACATGTGATAAGATGTGACTATAGACAGCGATCATTAGTTATATTAATAAATGTGACTATAGACAGCGATCATTAGTTATATTAATAAATGTGACTATAGACGGGGCAATTTTTATATAAACAGTTTTGGCAATAAACTACTAGAGACTATAGGCAGATAGTGACTATAACCAGAGGGACTATATATAGACAGGGTTGACTGTAAATGCACAAGAATGTCTTTGAGTGACATGGTGTAATATTCTTCTTTCTTGTTTTAACCTCTTCATCTTAAAGATTAACTGAAATTCATCAATATGAAGAATGTCTTGGAGAGACAATTTATCTCGAGTGCTTGAAAAGACTTCTTCAATGATAAGAATATTGATGTATAGTGTTGTATGAGCGGTGTTGTTGTTACCATTACGCGTGCAATTCTCGCCAACTGCTGTTGAAGGAAGTTTCGCAGTAAAAAAAAAGCCGGTTTAATATGGAACAGCAAATAATAATAATTCTACATATTCTACAAACTATTAATTGATAAAAAGTTTCCAATGGCACTATCCTTTTAAGGAGCAAATCCTGCTACCACGTGAGAACAGTTGGAGTGACGTGTAGATATTGCAAAGAGGCTAAATATGTATTTTTGCGAGATTCAGGTACGCTAATACTAATGCTGCGTTGACAAATTAAAACAAACACAATGAACAGACTCATTGGAACGTCGAGGAAAGTACCTAAACCAACGCTGGGTGAAGCCATAGCGACGGTAAGGTATTAAGTTTTGTAATTTCGTATTGTTACATTCGCTCGTCGCGATGTTGGAAGAGGTTTTTGTAAATGACCGATCCGCGTTGCATTCTACTTCCGACATCAAATAGACGGATTCTAGAGTCGAGGCTGTGGAAGTTAAGATAAGGAAATATGATGCAGAATTAGCCAGATATAAGGAGCAAATGAAGAAGATGCGTGACGGACCGGGGAAGGTAAGAAAAACATGCGTTTCTCTTGTATAGGATCCAACGCCCGGTTTCTTATTTATCTGCCGATTTTAGAATGCAATAAAGGCAAAGGCAATGCAAGTG